AAGGGGGATAGATGATCACCATAATCGCCCAATCTCCTGAAAAGGACAAAAAGCTGATCCCACAGCTATAAATACTCAACTACCCCACAAAACGGCACCAGAGCACAGACAAGAGTTCCAACTCCTGACCTCTGAAGATGCACATGGCCACAGAGACTGGTGAAATGTTAGGCAGAAAAACCTCCAGAACACAACCAAAACCTACAACAACCATCGGATCCCGGCTGTGAAAGCCTTTGCGAATACATGCCCTTCAGAGCTTTGAATCTTTAGCAACTCTCTGTACCTGTGAAATTGTTTGTTATTGGTACACCACCATCAAAAACGAAATACTCACGCCCCTGATGGGAGGCATGAGGTCATCAAGAGCCACCATTTGCAGTTCTCCGCCTTCATCTGTCCACGTTGCTCTCTCTTCGACCACGCTTCTACACGGTTCACGCTGCTCTGGGGTCTTTCGATAAATAAGGTGTTGAAATTTGGGGGAATTCTCAATAGGTTCAATTTCATACCTTAAAGTCCCAATTTGCACATGTCCCCTGGGGGGGAAAACCCAAAATAGAGACTTAGGGCCAACAAGATGGCAGTCGCAATGGGGTGGCCCACCTATGGCCATATAACTGGTGCCCGAAGCACAGCGATCGGGTGGGCCCAACGAAACGTTAATCCAGGAAGGGAAAACAGGCTTGCCCTATGTCACGGGTACATGCCAGAACAAATGCGCTCTGGTCCACCCTCGTGAGCAACCCAGAGCGCATGTTGTAACGAGCCTCCCTTCTCTGTATAAAGATTGTGGAAATACAACTAAGCACACCCTGGACGAAATACAACTTTATAGCTCCTGAAGCATCAGCAAGATTATGCCAGAGAGGGATACTGCTCCTCTACCTTATTTGTAATATTGCTGCTAACCCTTCTTAAGAATAATCATTCATGTCCCATCGCATCAATTCCGACTTATGGCAGCCCTTTTCAGGATTTCCCTGGGAGTGAGTACTCAGAAGTGGTTTCCCATCCCCTCTTGGACTAAAATTCCCAGAAGCTTTTGCCACAAACTTTGCTGGTCAAGGTTTCTGGGAACTGTAGTTCAAGAACCCACGTGCTCCCCAAGGTTGGGAACCACTCATCTAGACGCCGAGAAAACTCAATCCAAGCTTTCTTTTTCAACTGGGTTGTCCTTTTGTAGGGATGACAATGAAGATTGTGGAGCCCTCCTGTCCAACCTGGAGGCCAATCTGGGGGTCTGGAACATATCCCGATTTGGCCTAGAGGGATTGGTGCCCCGTCTGATTTCTTGCGTGCCGATTTTGAGTCAATTTGTAAGCATTCCGTTGACGTGCTTTGGGAAACCAAAATGCTTTAACGGTTTTGTTTTTCTGTGGATGCACCTTAAATCTGGAAACCCAATAGATGCTCAAGAAGGGAGTAAGAGGGGAAAGCATCAACTTTCAGGGATTGGGGAACTAGGCCACCTTTAATTTTTAAAAATTATTACATGGAAATAAATAACAAAACTAACTTAAAATGCAAATTCAGTAAAAATGACACAGTTAAAATTAAACCCTTCCCCATCAGTGCCACCTTTACACTTGGGACTAGGTGACCAATAATACCAATTTGTACCCCTTTTCGCCCCCTTCCTCTCCAAAAGTACATGGATTCTTCTGCTGGCCTTTAGCCTTTTCCCTTCAAAAAGACATACTCCAAGCATACATTCCACACATTGTTAGCCTTTACCATTCCTCTTCTTATTTTCATTTCTCATGTTAACTTATCGTTAACTGCTAAACTCCACATTTCTTTATACCAATCTTCAAGATAAATTTCTTTATCATTTTCCCAATTCTTTGCAAATAGCAATCATGCTACGGTAACCATTATAACGACTAACTTTTTCTGATCTTTTTTCAAATGGTCTTTCTTAATTATATTCAGGAGGGCAATACTGGGTAATATCTGAATAGGACCTCCCATAATTTTTCTAATTTCTTTAAAAACCAGTGCCCGTTCCTTTCTGATTTCAAGAGTCCACCACATTATTTTATGCTGTTTTCAAAGTGAAAAAAAAGGTTAAAGCCATTTCTGCCCCATCCGGGTCCAATTTATGCCTTAGACATAAAATTGGTTTGTCAGTTTGATTTGCTTCACTCCGGAACCAAATTTGGCCATTTTGCTTCAATCGTAGACCTCATACAAATCAAATCAAGCTAATTTGGCTGGGATTTCAGGATTTATCTCAATCTGAGGCCTAGCTGTGCTGCCGTTTTTCTCTTTAGTAACCTTTAATGTTAGCGTTTTGCCTACAAAGACAGGGGGGAAAAACACACACACCCCTCTGAAGCCAGGAAACTGAGATTTCACCCAGTGAAGAAGGACAGTACAACACAGAGAAGCAAGCGCTTCCCATTCAATCTCTTAACTCTGAAGCCTGATCAACTCATATCCCCTTTGTGTGTTCGGTCTCAAGATCGGGGAGAGGATTCTGTCTGGAGCAGGATATGCACATCCATGTCCCTATTGTGAGATGGGAAATTCTGCAATCTCGCATGCTGCCTCTAGTGGGTGTGGCTGGGAGGGGTGACTGTCAATCAGTCCAGCACAGACCAAATAGTCCTTCCCTGCCTCCGAATTTGAAAGAGAGCCCCACCTCTCTGTTTTAAAGCTTTTCCCCTCTCTTAAGTGTTTTTGTTGTCAATTATAGTCTGTTGAGCGCTCTTGCTCAAAGCACTTGTGGTTTTTAGCTTGCTGTAGATCAGTTTAACTGTTAGTAAATGAAACCGTTTATTCTTTCTCCTACTTATATCTCAGAGTGAATTACCGAGACTACAAGAGACCATTGATGAGAAAAAGGGGTGGACTAAACTGAGGAGCTTGAAGCTATTCGGTTCCGTGAATCCCCTGCACTTCTGCTGCACAGCTAGAGGGATTTTGTCAAAATTCAAAACCCGGCGCCTTTTCACCTCTTGGTCAGCCAGCACTTTGTGCAGGCCAGGGTAGCCCAGGGGATTCTAATTCCTTCTCCTCCTGACTTTTTATTGAACTTGTTTCTTGGAGACTGGGCAGAACAGACAGGTGTACTTTGTTAACAGAACAGACAGATGCCTTCAACATTTGTCAGAATTATCTTCTGACCTGTTTCCTGTCTGTGGCAGAGCAGGACCAGTGCAGGACTGGATTGGCTCCGGTGGGGGTGACTTGATATCGCCGGATGGAGACTGGATCATTAACTTTAATTAGTCAGACTGGATTGCTCAATTTACAGCCCATGGAGAGGGAACGTTGCTCCACGTTTGCGGAGACTCCGAATCCTAGTGCGAACTCCAGAGAGGGTTATTGGCCCTGAATGGTGCCTCATTTCTATGTCACCCCGGTCGCCAAGTTTCTGAAGACGTAATCAAGAAAAGAGTAACTCTAAATATGTGCAGCTTGCATGATGTTGGCTTCAGAGGGGTGCAGAGGTGGACATCTTCGCCACTCTTAGCATTTGTTTCAGAAGGTCCGGCTGGCTAAAGGAATGACGGCAGTCTTTCAGCCGTAAGCGGCTTGTGGCTCGGTGGAGGGCCCTGTTCACCCCAAATGTGGAAGGGATCACGCTGCCCATCCTGGTCAACAAGATGCCTCGTATCTTATATTACTTGTTTCCCGCACGTCCTAAACATTTTCTTTGTGTTTGTGAGGCCTAAGAATTGATATTAGCGGATGCTGCAAAGTGAAAGATCAGCACGAAATATCCTTCAAGAAGTACGCACTCAGGCTCCTATCAGACTCAGATGATCTATAATATGATTATTTCTGAGTTTGCAGATACATAGAGATATATTTGACAGTTCTTACACCAAGTCTTTATTACCAAAGCCCAGCACAGGTAGAGAGGACGACAGAAGAGTCCGGGGTGCCTTCCACGTAGCCGCTGTAGTAGCAGTCATCCTGCAAGGTCCCAAAACACACGTTCAGCGAAAATCCCAAATGCAGTCGAAAGGAAGGGATTGGCTGGGTGGGCGTTCGCCCGGCACCAAATTTCTAAAGGTCCTCCTTTCTCAAACAGTGTCCCTCTTGGAACAGTCTTGCCAGGAAGAGCTGGCCTCTTAGCACATCTGTGCTTCCGTATGCTAATGCATATGTCTTAATTGAAGAGGGCAAACACCCTCCCACTCATTAACTGACACCATTAAGAGCCTGACAAATGTCTTGGCCCTCAATTAGCCCCAGAAACGCCTACTGAGAACCAACCAGCTCTTGTTTTCAGATCGATGTTCTAACACCTCCATCGCTTCTGTTCCACGGAGCCAGTGGTTCCCAAACATGGGTCCTCATATGTTCTTGGACTGCAACGCCCAGAAGCCTTCACCACTAAGTGGGCTGGCCGAGGTTTCAGGGCGTTTTCGTCCATGAACATCCGGGGGACCCACGGCTGGACACCATGGCTCTAGAAGCCCCTTTCAATAGACACCCTTCCTGGTTTGCTGGCTTGCTTTCCTAGACTAAAAACCATCCTTCAACCCCATAACTCTGCAAACTTTTTGAACAGCACTTTTGCTGACCTCCCTATGATGATGCCTACAAGTTACCCTTGGCAGCTCCCAGCTTCTGCCCCTCTTTGCGCTCCATATTTCTGAGTAATAGAGTCCCTGCTGTGTTTGTCGTTTGGGAATATTGCTTCATCTTGATCTACCGTAACTCTGCATTCTTCTCTCCTTCCTCTTTACACCTTTGGCAGAATTAAAACCAGGTAACACCCCCTCTCTCTTTGTCTTTTGGCCCCTTGCATGATCTTTCAGCTCACCTCCTTCCCTCACTCCCATCTCATCCCTGCTCTGTTTCAAGACCAAACTAGAAGCGACAGGTAACCCGTGGGTAGATTGACAGTCCCAGTATCGCACAAAGAAGCCGAGGCAGTCTTTTCTGTCGGAGAGCCAAACTGGACAATGCAGTTAACATGTCATTGAAACAGACGTCCGCTAGGAAGTGAAAGACTATTGATTCTCAGATGGATTTGCTTCACTTTGACAAATTAGCTCTCATTTTGCTGTTGGCTGTTGGGAGGTAAAACACAGCTTTGTTTCTCTGATTTCTCAAGCGTTAAGCTTGGAACATTTCCATACCTGGAAGGAGGAAATACACTTGGAGAAATCAGACCTATAAACGAATGTGCTTGTGTTGTGAAGACCAGACAAAGGAAGCTAACTGACAAACATACACACTTCAGGCATTTCCTTTTCCTAGTGAAGGGCTCTTTGACAAAGGAAGCTAACTGACAAACATACACAATCATCACTTTAGGTATTTCCTTTTCCTAGCGAAGGGCTCTTTCCAACATACAGTTTAGCTGTCAGTCTCTCTTCCTAGATAGAATCACTAAAATCCAGTTTGACAGGAAAAAAAAATTAAAATTCCTTCCACCTTCATCCTACAGATTCTCATGGGGGTGGTGGAAATGGCTATGGGGGCAAAAACCAAGGTCAAATTCTTGCAGCAGGTTGTTCGTGACTCTGCCGCTCCCGATTCACAGAGCCCAAAATCATCGGTACCAGTCATAATGAACTTCAGTTTTGACAAATCAAAATCATCACGTGCCGTTACAAAGCAAAGAAACATGTCCTTGATACCTCCAGCTTTCTGGACCTATTCATATGAGAAAAGCCTTACCTGAACATATGGATAATCTGCAATCACATCTCCTTTCATATTATAAGTGTAGACAGGCAAATTTGAAATAACAAAGGATCTGAAAACCCAACAGAGACAGAGTTTAAACCTTCTATGAAATGTGGCTTAGGAAAAGTTGCCCCAAATCCTGCGAGTCACACCTGCCAGCATTAGCACATTGGGCATCTGTGTCAATGGCAAACTGCTGGATGTTAAGAAGGCCACTCAAGCATTTGGTGTCTCCTGCCAAGATTCAGCAAACACCTATGCTGCCTTTTAACTTGTGATCATTTGTAGCAAAGGGTCATATGGATTCTGTTATGCCAACATGGAAACACAATTGAATTTTGGGCAATATTTTTGTTGCCAGTTAAGCAAAGCCCTTTGTAAACACTCTGCAGACCTGCCCACTCAAATTTGTTGTTGTTTAGTCGTTTAGTCATGCCCGACTCTTCGTGACCCCACGGACCAGAGCACGCCAGGCCCTCCTGCCTTCCACTGCCTCCCAGAGTTGGGTCAGATTCATGTTGGTCGCTTCGATGACCTTGTTTAGCCATCTCGTCCTCTGTCATCCCCTTCTCCACTTTCCCAAAATCAGGGTCTCTTCCACACAAATTAATGTAACTGAATCCACTTTCTCTGTTCCCTTGTCTTCATTTTTTGTCTCATGATCAAATTTTACATTGTGTACTACCCAGAATATAGACCTGTCTTTCTACCTGAGCTTGGAACACCACTTAGTACATTAGGAGTTAGATTTTATTATTAAAAATGCATTGGTTTAAGAGTAATGCATTGGACTGAATGTAATGCACTAGTAACACCTTGCTATGGCACACGTTCAGCTGGCTTTCTTGGCTTCTTCCGTTTAAAAATGAGTTCAAACATTTTTTTAAAAAAGCCTAACATATTTTATTTCACTGATTTTATTTGTTGCTGTTTTTTTATTTTGACCTACGTATATCACAGCAGGGTAGATGGAACGGAAAAATATCACATGATTCCTCATAACGGCTCCTACAAAATAGTCTAAGCACCCTCATGACTCCCTATTTAGTCACTACATTTTGAAAAGTTATGGTAGTATTACATTAGCAACATCTTGCAAAAAGTAACCTGTTACATGTGAGGCCATTTCTTATGTTAATATTGCAATTATGGCAGTTTTAATGGTGGAAAACAAGAAATTATTTAGGCCTCCTCTTGAGTCCTGTGTCAAATTCTGGACACCGGACTTCAAGAAGGATGCTAAAAAACTGAAGCACGTTTAGAGGAGGGCAACAATGATGATCAGTGGACTGGAAACCAAGCCATGTGAAGAAAGACTTCAAAGAACTAGTAATGTTTAGACTTGAGAAAAGAAGACTAATAGGAATTATTATTGTACTTTTGAAAGGCTGTCCTACAGAGGAGGGGGCAGGATCTGTTTTCAATCCTTCCAGAGTGCAGGAGACGCAATCGTGGGCTCAACTGACAGGAAGCCAGATTTTGGCTGAATATCATGAAAAAAGTCTTGACTGTTAGAGCAGTACGACGATGGAACCTCTGACTTTAGCCGCCTAGAGTGGACGAGTCGCCCAGATAGGTGGGGTATAAATAAATAAATAAATAAATAA